TCTGGGGGTGAAGCCTCACTCAACCACGTAACAGCTGGGAACCACTTATTATTTGGGGGAGGGGATGTGATAATGGGGCCATTATGTGGATCAACGGTTAATACATACAAAGCTCTCATAACCGTGCGTGGATGGTAGTAAGCACTTCATTCTGCTTACTGCTTGTCATTTTTATCATGGGATTCCAGTCTCCTGAAGGCCTTCAAATTGCCTGTGCTGATGTGTCTTAGACTATTTAGTGAATAATGTCCTCTCTTAGCCACAGAGCACACCCTATCCAACCAAGGAAAGCAAGCCACGGGTGCTGTGCTAGGGAGGTGCTTAGGACTTCCTCCTATCCCCCTCCAGCCCTAATATTTCCCTTCAGAAATCTAACCCCATGGCTCATGCCCATGGGAGAAGGACAAGAGATTTGGATTGTTGCCGAATTTCAGCCAGAGGAAACTGACCGTTGAATATGACTTGTGCTCTCCTGCGCCACCTTATTCCTTGTCTTTCTCCCACTCCTGCTTCCTGTGTTCTTCTGTGGAAGTAGCTCTAGAGCTGAGTGTGTACACACACACACACGCATATACACATATGGAGGTAGAGGTGCATCTGAAATGTATCGTATACTTTGTCATATGTCATTATAGATATGCACGTATAACATGCATTGTCTTTTTCTGTATGCATTTTGTGTAATATATAAGATGAAACATACATGTGAATTTATTACAAATACATATATTTACATCTGAGGCTTAAAATGATCCCTTTTTCATCCTACCATCCAGATGTGTCCTACTTATTTTTCCCTCTGCTTTTCACCACACAGAGGTTTGTTACATGCCTCTCATCTCTCACACAAGGTGATGGCTCTTTGCGGGGAAAAAGCTAGGGCATGCTTAACTTAGAATCCACTGCAGTGTTTAACAAAGCCTCTGGGTTTTGAGTGGAATTCCTGAGCAGTATCCCTGCAGGTGTGCCCTGTATTCTATAGAGATGCCAGGTTGTGGAGTGCGCACTTTCTCACACACCAGCTCGGGACCGCAGGCGGGCTGGTCTCCTTGTTCGCATTTTACAGATGAGGAAACAAAAACTCAGGAGGTTTTCCTGGCGAAGCAGCTACTAAGAGGCCTTCTCATATATATCCATAGCTGCCTTTGGGTCTGAACTCATAAAAGGTCGTTTTTTTCCAGAGATCCCAGGAGGTTGTTTCTCTTAGTCTAAAACAAGGATCTCCGCGGTGTGGTAGGCCGATAGAGCAGGGCCCATGAACTTGGATCCTATCATTTCCAGTCTGTTATTCTGCCCAAATTCTCAGCCTGGGATGTTGATCGTGAGCAGAGCACTGCCAACACTGAGGGGAATTTTGTGTTGCTGGGAGAGTGACCACCCTGGGACATCTCCTAATCTGGGTGACCCTGCAACAGGTGACCCTTGGCATCTGATTTATTTACTTAGTGAGGCAGGCGGGCACCTCCCTGCCTTAGGGCAGTTTGGGGCATGTAGGTGCAGGTTTCGACAGATCAACTTCCTTTCTTCCACACTAGGGAGGTGAGGCTCCATGCTGTTCCTGACCATAAATTATTAACTGGAAAAATCATTGTTATTATGTGGGCTTTCCATTAAGAAGGAAGACACACCTTTTCCAAGCTGACGGGCTGCAGCATGGACTCCCAGAAATAGAGTGCCTGAAAGGAGTCAATCAGAAATTGCTTGCTCTAGTGTTTTTAACTAACTGTACACGATCTTGTTAACTTAGTTGTTTCCTATGGGATACTGGTTTTCTTTTAGAAGGTGTTGACTTGGGGGCATATCTTGCAGGTGCCCCAGCCAGAAGACTGGATCTTATAGGCACTCAGTAGCTTTGTTGACAAACGTCTTTGTTGTTTACGAGAATAGTTTCTTCTTAGGCCAGCTAGAGAGATCCTGACAAACTGTGTAACAGGCAAATCTTGAAGTCTTTTGAAGGGAGGTTGTAGAGACTGGTATTGTTACAAATATGTGGAGAAACAGACCACTCAACATCACAATTATTATTATCACCCATAAAGATTCTTCATAGAGGCCAGCTATAAACTCAGGGTGTTGTCTGGGGAGAAGCTGTTTCTGATTTACCCAACTTGGTAATGTTCAAGTTCAAAGGGAAGGATATGCCTCTTTCCCTGGATAAACTATACAGCTTAAAAAGGAACTTCCTAATAGCACTTGGCATTTCTGAGCAGAACACTGGTGGAGACTGTCTGTGCTTACATGGTGCCATCATTTCTGACCATAGCTCATTGGGAATCTATCTGGTAGGTGTTAGAGAGGGGCTGGAGGTGGAAGGTTGTACGCTGGGGATGAGAGAACCAATGGCTTTTTATTTGGACATTATAATAGAAACCAAAGCAGCAGTTTGAATTTTCTGATGTTTGTGTTTTGGATCAATTATCTTAGCAGGATGGAATGAAGAGCTGCCTGCTCAGAGATCTCATAGCTGCCTCTTGATAGAGCCAACAGAGATGGTTTTTTTCCAATGACCACGAGACCATTTTTAAGCCCCTGGGGAATCAGGAACTCCACAGTGTGGAAGCTGACAGATCAGGGATGTAGAAAGGACAGGGGCCACTGGAAAGATATGTTCATTTGAATTTCCTTTATCTCTGGGATTCCAACCCTTCAGCCTTATAGCAAACTCCTTGTTTCCTCTTGCAAATTTTCCTTTAATGGGAGAGGTCTGGATGGATGGTTTTTTTCCAGTGAGCTTGATTCTCCCTCCACATTAACCCATCCTTCTCATTCCATCCCATACTGACTCCACTCTGATAATCAGTAATGGGATTGGGTGTGAGGGGTGGGGAGAAGGATGGGACACCAAGAGGAAGGATGTGACAGGTTCCGGGGTTTTCCTTGGGCCACATCCCTGCATGTGGGGTGTGAGTTTCCGTCTACTTACTTGGCATAAATTGAGGAGGGTGGTGACTTGCAGCTCATCTCTGTCTGGTGCCGTTAGCTCAGCTCCCCCAGCCTCTGTTGGTCTGTGTGTGTGCCTTGCACACCAGGGAAGAGCCGGGCTGTGACCCCGTCCAGCAGCATGTGGCCAGCTGTGAAGTGAGATAGGAATAATCCCAGTCCTAACAACAGAGCTGAGGGCTGTGGACGGGTACTTCCTAACACTCTTTAGATGCCTGTGACTGGCTCGTATTAGCCTGTGGTTGGGCTCTTCATTCCTCAGCTCCTGGAATCTTTCATGCTTCATGTGAAATGTGCTCTGGCAGCTCGCGGATGAATT